TCCAGTGACGTGCTCGTGGCTGTTTTGACGTCATGTTCTCTCAGTGTAGAAAGAAGACTGGGGCTAATTGGATAATCTCTGTTAAAGCAGAATGAACCAGAGCAGCTCGATAACTCTCTGCTTCCTGTCCGCCCTCGACTCACGAGGAAACGCTTCATATCACAAAGAAACGTCCGTCTCAACAAGGAATTCGATCGAGAAAATAAATGTAGGTAAAGTGTAAAAATAACTATACATCTATGTTGATGTAAACTAATACATATAATATATTTTATAATATTTAAGAATTTATAATTTCATGTGGATTTAAGAAATAATATTGGCAAAGATAAACAGATTTTTCTCAGCCACTTCAATCTGTCAGGCTCTTATTCTTTGATCCAAATTGTTTTACATGTTTAGAAATGTAGTAGAAAAATGACATGTACGATGATGTCATGATTCATTTTGTTTCAGTTTGAGCTGAATTAAAGGCGTCAAGCCGTTCTAGTGTTTCCGACAGACAAACCTAAGCGTTAGGTGGCGACGCAGCCGGAGGGAGAAGCACTTGTTCAGGCGGACGTTGTGTGTTTTCTCTCGTGTCGTCTCTGAAGCCTTGTGAGCGCCGCCTTGTGTCTAGCGGGCTAATTCACTTCTCTGTGCACCCTCTCCTGTAGAGACCGCCGCCACAGAAAGAGGCGCCAGTAAAGCATAACTGCTGTTTACAGATGCCTCCCAGAGTAAGAGATCCATTTATCCTTTATCCAATTATCCTTCTCTTCTGCACTGTCATCCCCCTTTCACACCTCCTACAACTCCTCTGGCGTCCACACATCACAACTGTCACTTATACTGAAACTACAAGCGTGTGACTGAGAGTGAATTATAGTTACAGACAAACAGCATCACATGTGTTTTTACTTCTTCTCTGTTCGATCTATTTCAGGAGCAAAGTCTTTGAAACTCATTTGTCACATTTGTCATAAAAACAAAATCAAAATCATTTATTTTAGATTTAATGATAAAACCGTAAAAGGAAAATATTTCTTTACAGCGATGAGGTCATTAAGAGTTGATTCAGATTCTTAAACCTGGAGACGGAGCTGATCTGCCATCAGAAAATAACATTGGTTGAGTTGAACGCAGCCCGATGACTGAAGCATGAGCTCCTGAAAGGTTCTGGAGGTTGATCTCAGACATTTTCTGGAACTATTGTAGGAAACAAGAATGTAATTAAACCCCTAAACTGAAGTGGGCCTGAAGTGGAGCCTTGAGGGACGCCACATGCTTTGAATCGTTGCTGCTTGTTGCTTCACCCACTGAAGCTTTAACTCAAACAGTGGAACTCTCTCTCGGGTCAGAACCGCTCCGTCTCCGATATAAACCCTTGAGCCACAGAAGTCCCACTCGGTTTGAAAGTTGAACCACTAGTTTTGTCTTTGCACACTAACCGACCATTAGTTTTCAACATCCTGATTTTGTCTCCATACGTGAAACATGAACTCATCAGCTGACCATCCCTCTCCTGGTTTTTGCATGGTTCAGAGTTTGACCGGCTGAAGTACAGATGTATGAGTATCATATCAGAAGTGGAGTATTTCAGTGAGTCTGTGTAACCGAGCCATGTTTTCCTGACGGTGTTCCCTTCCTCCCCTCCCCCGCTGCCCGCCTGTTTTCCAAACCTTTCCCACAATGCTTCACAGAAAATGTACTCGTGTGCACCTCTGCTTATCCGTCTGACGTCTCACGGCTTTTTCCCCTCCCTCACAGGAGCCAATGAATGAACAGAACTTTGACACTTATGTGAGTACGCTGACAGACATGTACACCCACCAGGACCAGTACCAGAGCCCGGAGAACAAGGCGTTGCTGGAGAACATTAAACAGGCCGTTCAGGGCATCCAGGTCTAACCTGACGGAGGCCGAAGCGACAAATGCAAAGCAAAAACAACAAGAAAAAAAAATAGTCAAAAGAGGGAATGGGTTGTTTTTTGCTGCTGAAATTTACCCCAGTTCTTTTCTTTCTTCTGCTGTTATGCTCTCGACTCCATGGGTATCTCTTTTTTTATTTATTTTGTTTATTGTTGTTGCCTTGCTTTGAAAAACAACGTTTTAAACGAACATTCACGTTTTGTACATTTTCATATGACCTAATATAATGTGATGTACTGTTTATAGCTGCTAATGTATGCACATTTTAGTGTATATGTATTTATTTATTGTAAGCTTGAATCATTTGTTATTTTCATGCGATTTACATACATGGAAGAAGTGGGCGTCACGGGTTAAACGGGGAGCAGAGCGGCGAGGGGGAACAATCATTCTTCGAAAAGGCTTTTCCCACGAGCTGCGGAGCTGGCGGTCGTTTTAATGGATGTTAATTCATTGGTTTTGTAACGGTGGACAAGCGGACCGTATGCACACTAATATTACTGTAAATCTTTAGCTAAAAATGACGAGAAGAACCGAGAAGATTTCAAACATCATGACACGGAAACTTACAGGTGCAAATCCCATCATCCCCTCCGGAGTTGCTTGTTTTTATGTTTTTTAACCGTCCTCTTCTGTCGCTTTTCTTTGTTCACGTGAAGAGCGAAGTGGAAAAAAAAACCAATGGCTACAGAAAACGTAGGAGACAATCTGCCATTCTGAATTTATGTTAGTCATTAACCTTGACTATAGCTAATAGGACGACGTCTCAGCAATATTGGTATGATAATATTAAATCGTTTGTTTAGATATGGGATGCAATCTATATGAAAAAATGTTTGGGTATATGCAATTTCTTATAAATAAAACTAGCAAAGAGCTGATAGATCTTTTTACTAACTATAAATGTATTGCGTTTTGTAAAAACCTTTTACTACAATCATGTTGTAGGAATCTGACGCGGGTGAAAGGACTTTGGTTCTGTCATGTTCGACTTTGCACAGTGACACCTTTGTTTCCATGTTTTGATGTTTTTATTGTGGATCAAGAGGCGAAGGGGATTTGTAGATATGATTTTTCTTTCTAGAGGCTGACGGCTGCGCTGGACTTACAGGGTCAAACGTCCCCATCCGTAATTGTATATTGTCCTCATCCTGTAGAAGACGTCTTTCCAATCATGCATCTTATTGTCTGAGCCACAATGGGACATGATGCCAGACAACATGATGACCAGGCAGTGTTTTTTTATTTTTAAAAGTTAATCTTTGATTTCTATTGAAAGATGAATGAAAACTAGAGCAGGCAGTCGTAACGCTACTGTTTGTCTGTGCACTGATTTACCGACCGAGTATTTGATCTGAATCGGCCTTAAGACGACATTGAGTCTGAAATCACGGTACAGGTGGAGTATGTTTTCTGAACACCGTCGATCATGCATGCACTTTACTGGAGTTTGTCAAAGTATTATCACGTGGTGAATGAAGCAAAAACTGTACAGCGAGTTTGTGGAAACTGTGACTTCGACAAGACGTTGTGCTGGTGATTCCTGTTTGAAAGAAACCTGGAGCAAAATTCTACGAGTTGATTTGTTAGCGAAAGGAAAACTCCCCCTCTGGCCCCACAGGAAGCTCCTCCTGCCAGAGTACTTAACACATCTGGATTCTTTAAAAGAAAAAAACTAAACTAAAGATGAACTTCCATCATGGTTTCTTCAGAAATGATCACTTCCTGTCGTTGAAGTGGAACATTTATCTCGTTCTTGTCTTTTGGTATTTTTGGTTAAATCTGTACAAGGAATCTAAATCAGAAGCTCCAGTAAATAAAAGATGAGGCAGTTTAAGTAAGAAATAAAAGAGTCTTTAACCTGAACTTTAAAACCTGATGTTTGATGCTTTATTAGACGACTCAAACATCAAACTGTGACTGGGGGGAGTTTTCCTTCTAACTTGTTGTTTTAAAGACGTTTTACTGCAAAGCCTCATTCACTGACTTCACATCTCTGTCCAGAGCTTTGTGTCTGCAGCTTCCTGCCAGTAAACTTCCTGCATTAGATAGACTGACAGCTTGTTCTTTTCATTTGGTCAGTTATTCTTACTGATAACAAGAGGAAACGGGAGTTAAAGCACAATTCTGCCACTTAAAGACAAGTCAGTAGACTAGATATTGTAATATCAGATGTAAAAGCTAAACTGTACCTATTTACATAGAGAACTTCAGCACTAACATGTAACATGCTAGAATGCAAAAGAAAATCCATATGAATATTTGTGAAATCATCAGTTAATTGAAAATGTTTCTTTTCGGCCGTGCGTTGAAAAGGTTTTTTTATACGACGTTCATTTTCTTTCCTTTCGGCCCTTTTTCTCTGTCACTCGCAAACTTTCAGCGACAGTTTTCTTACCACGAGGCATGGGTTCTGTTGATATTTCTGCTGTATGTTTAAGGTCACGAGTTGCTACGTGATATTTTAATTTGACTTGTGAAGTTCGTACAGTTTTTATCATGCTGGTGTTGGCATCTCTTGCTCTGAATAAATCTTGTGTTGCAACACGGATCTTGACTGTGTCCTGTTTGTGGAGCTGACAATTAGGAAGAAATATAAAGAAACATTTAATTTTACTGTAATCGTACATATGTTTTTATAACTTTTCATCTCTTAGGCAGTGAAGACCTTATTGCACTTAAACGAAATGTGGCTATAAGAAGATTAGTATTTGAATTAACTAGCTTGTATCCAGTTTAACTTTATACAATTAAAAATAAAGTGCTCTATATCTATCTAACTATATAATATAGTATAATATTAGATGAAATATAGTATATAAACATCTATAAACTATATAATTCACATAAAATAATAATAATACATATGATATTATATATAATGTGTATACATAGTCCCATCCTGCAGGTTTTATTTGTAGATAAATAAACAAGAAGAATATAAAATGTGTTTTTGTTCTAAACGTTTCTCTTCACGTAGAAAAACTAATTCACTTCTTTCTGTCTCGTTGCAGTACCACCTCCAGCCAGCAGGTGGCGGTATGCTCCAGTTGAACTGGTGTTGAGACCCGTCAACCAACACAAAGAAGAAGAACCAAATCTCGCGATATCACGGAGCTGGAGACGCGCTGGTTTCAGAAAGTAGCTGCGTGACGAGCAGCGAGTAAATAAAGAGCTGGAACTGGTTTCACTCTGGTTCCAGACTCTGTTTGAGCTGGTTTCACTCTGGATCTGCGGGATGCGTCGTTAGCTCGGGTCAGACTCGGTGAACGATGAAGTGCGTCGTGTCCGCGTGTCCGAACTGGATCAACCGGAAGATCTTTAAACAACCAGCGAAGAAGTTCTTCAGACTACCGGCGGACCCGGAGAGAGTCCAGGTGTGTGTGTGTGTGTGTGTGTGTGTGAGTGTGAGTGTGACTCTTGGAGCTTCAACCACAACTTGAACCTTTTACATGATTTCATTTCATTTTGTATCAAACTGAACTTTGCAGATTGAACTGTGAGAACTTCCTGTTCGCTGCGTCTCTGGATTTAAAGAGATTGTGATGATTGTAGAAGAAGAATGAACTTGATGTTGAACTCCTCTACTACACTTCACTCTGTGATCGATCTGTTAATGTTGGTGTTCAGGAAGTGGCTGGTTGTTAGAGTCTGTACTTTAAGGTTCTTCTCTTTACTAAATTTAACTTTGCTAATTTCAGTAAAAACACAGAAATGAGTGAAAAGTCTTGAGTCAGGTTTGGATGAAGCCACTTTACATTATTTATGTTTTATTTCTCTGGGTTTTCTTCTTTGAAAAACTTCTTACAAGCACAGAACGTGTTCAAGAGGGAACCGATTGAATCGAGCTGTAACAGTTCAAGAGTAAAGATTGAACACAAACTCTCACAGATTCTTTTTGTTTCAGAACTTTAATAAAAACTAAGTTCTGTTTGATCCCCTCGGTTACAGATATTATAAATGTTCTCCTGATGTATTAACTTCATTTTAACTTCCTGTCAGGTGTGGCTGGCAGCGCTGAGGGAGACGGACAAACCCGACCTGACGGAGCATCATCTAATCTGTGAGGACCACTTCCTGCCAGAGCACATTTCCTCCAGTGGGATCAGCACCGACGCCATTCCCATCATGCCCCAGTGCCTGGACGAGCGGCTGAGTCTGACGAGCCCCTGGGGAGCAGAGTCAGAGGAGGACGAGGATCAGTGGACCTCAGACGGAGAGGAGGCTGTTGAAGGTGGAGACGAGACGCCTCCTTCAGAGGATCCACTTGAGCAGGTCAGGAGGTTTTCATTAGTTCAAATCAATCAAGTCTCTGATTCAGATCAAAGTTCTGAGCTGTGGGTTTAGTTTTTATTTTCAGTCTCTGGATGAAAGTCACATTTCACATCGCAGATTATTCTCAGAGGTTTGATTGATGGAAGTTTTGTGTTTCTGTTTTTGATTGATGTCAGTTTAAAGAACGGATAAATGAATCTCACTGGGGCTGCACGATAAATCGAGAATCTGTCGTCATCGTGCGATTGGAGGCAAAAACTGCGATAAATGATGAAACAAAAGGAAAATATTTCATCTTTGTTTTTGAATTCTGTTTTAAACAAGTGGGGTTTTTTTTATACAAAAGTTTAAATATTTTCAGTTTTCTCCCCTGATCTGAACTGAGGTGCATCCTGGGAGTCGTAGTTAACTTAGACACCTGAAATCCAGATATTTTCTGACATGAAAAACACTGAACAAGGAAGAAACAGCTCCTCCCACTCTGCTGCTCTACAGGAAAAATCATTTCAAGAAAACAAAACAGTTTTGAATGAAACATTTTTTTATAAAATGAAAAACTTTGAGTCAAAGATTCAAGTTGTTTTTTTGATTTTTTTAGGTGCAGGTGTTAAAAAAAAAACTGAAACCAGAGCATGATGATCCGATCTGATGGAGCTGCTCTGGATGATAAATGAAACACATTCAGATCATTGACAGGTTTTCTGTCAGTGAAGAAAAGGACAGAGAGAAAACAGAGAATTTGAAAACAGAGATTTGACCTTGCGTCTCTCTCTCTCTCTCTCTCGTCTCTTTATGTTTATTTATCTTAAGTCAGATCAAATGTTTTCCTGATATCGTGCAGCCCTGACTCTCACAGTTCATCACCTGCAGCAGATACCAGATTATATTTCAGACATGTTTTGATTCCACAGTTTCTAAATTCAGTTCATCATCGATGCATCAAATTAAATGTCATCTGCTTTTGATTTATAAAATATTACTCTTAATAATCAGATTGGATCTTCTTTGTTATGTCATTTCTTTTAGTGTCAATCAACAATTACTTTTGGACAATTAATTAATTGACGGTATTTATTTCAAGCTTCTCAGATGTGAGGATTTAATGCTTTGATTTGTTCTTGAACTGAGGATAGAAACTGAGGTTAATGGATCATGACATCATGTGTGATGAGGTAGTGTGATATACTTTGTTCTGAACACACATGAAGTGTTGAACAGACTTCATGTTTGTTTTGATCTTTAAATTTAACCAGAACAACTTAAACTTTCACTTTTTAACTCCAGGACTCGGGGGCCAAGAAAACTTCAGGGGTCAAAACGACAAGGTAAAAATAAAAAGTCTCATTCCGTTTATACGTCTTTTATTATTTTATTCTTATCTCATTCTATTTTCTTTGTGCAGAAGGTGATGAAGGTGTTTTCTTGTCTCTTTGTCTCCAGTGTCGGGCCGCATGAGACAACGAGAGAAGACAAACAAGGTGCGTTTCATTTAACTTTAAAAAAGGTTTCACTCAGATGTTTTGTATTAAAGTCTCGTTATAGAATCTCAGTAGCTTTTACAACAGAGGTTAAAATTATACAAGTTATTAAAGGTTCACTGCGTAAGATTCAGGAGAAAGGATCTATTGGCAGAAATTCAACATAAAATAATCCTAGTGATGTTTTCACTTGTGTGTTTTATCTAAATCGACTAATTGTTTTCTTTACCCAAGAATGGGTCCTTTGTATTTATACATTTTATATTTAAATACTTTATATTTACATCTGGAGTGTGTCCTGCTACTTCACCACTAGATGTCACTACCTTCTACACACTGAACCTTTAACCAAAGGTCACAATCAAGATTCTTGAATCTGGCACCTAAAGGTTTAAAAATCCCAAATTAAACGAGTGTATATTGTTTGTTTTAGGGCGGGGACATCTTTTGTCTTGTCAGTGAATTAAATAGATTCTTTGAGTTTTTAACTGTTGAACAGCTTCACAGACGTCAGGGGGGAAAATATCTGCAGATTCAAAGATTATTGTTTTTTCCCAATTTCTACTTGAATACAGAAAAACTTTCACTTATTTTCTAACATATGAGATGTTTCAGATTTAATTGAAGAGAAGTAACATGTTTGATCTGCTCCTGTTTTTAAAAGCGACGCAGACTTTAATGAAACGTTCTCCAGAGACAAATGGGCGTGTTCTGTTTCTCCTCTTTAACTCACTCGTCATTTATTCAGGCTGGTCTGTGGGAAAGGTGACGCAGCGTTTCCTGGAGATGTTCCTGACGGTTCCTGACGGTTTACTGGACCTCAGGCAGGTGACGACGAGGCTGCGAACCCACAAGCAGCGAGTGAATGACATCACCAACATCCTGCAGAGCGTCAACCTGATCGAGAGGCACTCGACCAACGTGATCAAGTGGATGTGAGTGAACAGAGACACGACGACATGCAGAGGACGAGCTCAAAGGTTTTTATTCATTCGTCAACAAAGAAAATCTCAAATGAGAAATCAATCATTGACACAAAAACCTTTTTTTGTAACATATTAAATGATATAAACTGATTAGAACTTATTTAAACATGGAAATGTTCTGCTGCTCACACTCAAGTCACAGATATCCTCATATACACCTCGTGCACATGTTTTACATCTTTAGTAGATGATTCCAAACGTCATCAGATCGATCTTCTGGATTTTCAGAAGGGAATCATGAGTGAATGTGACAAAACTACTTGATCAATATTAAAGTTTAATTTTAGACGTCACCACTGAGATGTAGTTAAACTAGTAATTCCACCACTTGTAGCAACACTGATTCAGTGAAACTAGCAAAACACAAAGTTCACTCATCAACTTTTTCTTCCAACAGCGACTTTATTTGGTTCAATGACCGGTGACCTCCGGTTGAAGTGAAACTCTGAAATAAAAAGGTTTTCTTTTTTTCTTCTTCAGAGGAGGAAGTCCCGTCAGCAGCTTCCTGTCGAAGAACCAGCAGAAGCTCCGGAGGGAGCTGCAGAACCTGAAGCTGGTGGAGGAGACGCTGGACTCGCTCATCAAGAGCTGCAGCAGGCAGCTCTTCATCATGACGGACGACCAGGAGAGTTCACCATATCCTTCCTCATCACGAATAAGGTCAGGTTGTAAATGTGGATTTCAAACTTCGTGGTTTTCTTTAACGTCTCCTGCACGATGGCATACGTGACGCTCAAAGACCTCAGTCGACTCAGAGTTTTCCAGGAGCAGACGATGCTCGTCGTCAAAGCTCCGGACGAAACGACGCTGAGCGTTCCTGCACCGTCAGAGGTAAACGACAGATGTGTTCAAACTGAAGGTGTCGTGTGTAACAGCAGGACCAGCAAGTTGACGTGTGTGTGTGTGTGTGTGTGTGTG